CAGAGCGGACATCACTGAATATATTACTCATTAATGGGATCAATAACCTGATCTCAACGATGGCGATTAATGAAATTAATTTCGGGTTCACGGCGCAGAACACCCAGTTCCAGAACCAAGTTTCCAAAAGTTTTTACACCCCAATTTGATCGCGACTACGTCCGATTCGTATTAGGGGGGTTTACTATCGTTTTCCGTCCGACATCTGTCCGAAACAATTACTGTTAAATGAGTAATACTCGACCAAATTAAAAACAATGGAGAACGAGTACAGGGCCAGTTCCGAATCCGAGAAATGACATTCCGAAGTGTCATTTTATCTCTAGGTATACAAGTGATTTCGTATTTTCTCGGATTAGAATCGGACTTAGTGCACAAGGGACATACGAAGTTTAAACTTATTTATATATCGACACATCCGTAGAACAAAGGTCTATGTGTAAGACTACTTGTTCTTAGGACATAGTACATTTCGTTAGTTCTTCTTCGCTGTGGATGTCAGATCGACCTTTGTTCGATTTTATATTTCCGAAACGAAGTAAGATATATAAATTCTCAAAATACCTTTACATAGGACCTAGTTTGAATAACGAAATTGTTCTCGTAACGTACTTATTCTCTTTTCGCTATATAATCACATCGGACTCTGTTCTTCGGATGAGTCGATATATAAAAATTACTCCTCACTAGTAAGGTAGATGCACTTGAAAAGAATGAGAAAGAAACAGCAGGGGTTGCTCTATGTGAATAAACATTTTTGTACACGTTTATCATTCACTATATTTATTGCTATATGCTATATTGCTAAATGTCATAGATGGAGATTTTTATGTATAAATATAACGCGTTGTTAGTTTGATATGAAATATAAATTTACCACGTATTCGCCACGTATTATTTTGTGAGCGGGTAAAGGACTCGTCTGGTGTTCTACCTAAATACATAACTCAATTTCACTTGAGGTGGGGGTTGGTTCTTGTTTGCATAACTATGTCCAATTACTGATTAAAAATGAACCAGTTTTCAGATGTTATTTATTAATTTAAAATACTTATGATTATTTATTTCACAAAAATATTGATTGAATCATAGCTTTCTCTCTCCCTTTTTAAATTTTTTCTAACCATATTTAAGATTAATTTTTTATTATTGACCAATTGCCTATTGATCTATGATCACCACTAATTATGATTTAGACCCGAGAACACCAGTGTTACAGAACTGAAGACTTCCCTTTGACATTGATTGTTTTTATCTCCTTTGCCTAAGGCATCTGGATGCCCAGTAGCAAAAATATTGAGAGCCCATCAAAGGGCAGCATTGGACAAAGAGATCCTCTTCATGGTAGAATTTACTCTCTGCTCTCACAAGGTGTAAATGTGTTGGTGAAATTACAGGCACATGGGCCTTGTCAACTTGTCTCAAGGTGACGGGTGCAGTGGCAGTGCCCCTCAGAACTTTGTATTTTAAAGCTCTGAGTGACACTGCAACTGTTATGGATAGGTTGGAGGACGACTTGTACATCCCATCATTTGATATTTAAAAAAACTTGTCTCAAGGGGTGTAACTGTCTAACTTTATTATTTTTAGAATGAAATGTTAATTCCTATTAATTTATTACCTAACTCCACTTAAGATTATTTGTCATAAATCGGACTAAATCTACCAATATAATCAGTTACCTAGTCTGATATTGGTCTTGCAACACACAGTACAATCTCTATGCGTACGTGTCTAATACAATAATGACTTCAGGTCAACGTCCTTGGGGAATACCAGAGGGGTAATTTAGAAAAAAACATGTCCGCTGCCCCTTAGCTCATACAGTATTCGCTACAGGCTTTGCCTAGGCTTCATCAGTTACCTTTTTGTTTCCCTTTTTAGGGTTCCATAGTACTAAATATTTAAGTTAAGTGTAAAAGTTTCCTTTGTAAAGATTCAACGTGGAAACTCACATAATTAATAATGTGCCAGACCACAACACCAGTTTTTTGGTCTCAAACTAGGGAATTCCAATGCCACGGGATTCACTCCAAGGCACTATCTAAAAGACCAAGACCAGAACCAATTTAGAAAAGTTTATTTCGCAAATTGGTCCTGCCGGGAATTGATCCCGGGACCTCCTCATCCAACGCCCGTAGTGCAAGCCGTTGGACCACGAGGTTGTCAAAACCGAAGAGTTTAGGCCATAGTCCACCATCTTCTCCAACTGCAGGTTTGAATTACATTGTGTTTTTTATGATTATGATACCTAGTGCCAGTGCACATCAGATCTATGCGATTTGAAGCTCTAAATGGCACTGCAACTGTTATGAACAGGCGTGTCGCTTACCACCAGGCCCACGATTTGTTCGTCGTGTCACTTAGTATCGTAATTCGTTATCTGTATTTCCGTACTAAACGCCAATATCATAACGAAGATTATTGCATATTTGCAAAGTCCATCATATTCTTTTTCTTTATACGCGTCGTCAAATAGCCGATTGCAGATATATTTTAAAAATAGCTCAGAATACAATTGATTGTCCTGAGTTACTATATATATATATATATATATATATATATAGTAACTCTGTATTGTTTTTCTTCTTGAGTTTGTGATTGCAAAATTCTCATAATTTCTTCGATCTCTGTTTTTTCTCTCTAGAGTGCTTACATGTTTATGTTATATTATATCCAAAAGTGTAAACTAAATTGACATACTATTGTTTATTTTAGTTATATTTGTATATTTATAGCTTACCATGAATAAATAAAATAAAATAAAAAAATATCATTTGCACATGCATTTTCCGGATGGATTTCGCGACTCTATTATATAATCTTGAAACTAAAACTTTATAAATCCGAAACCACTAACAAATACATCCAAATCGCACTTGTCTGACTTTTTGTCTTGAAGAAACCAGGTGTTGATTTCCCCAGCGACTTGAAGGGTGGCAAAGTACACACTATGTACCAGATAATAATTTTGTTACGCCTTATGTGGGTTGTTATGTGATTTTCAGCATTGGTTACTTTACGCTACATCGTAAAAAGTAGATCTTGTTGCTTTGACGGCCAGTGAAAATGCGTGACAAAACCGCACGTCGGCATAATTCCCATAAACTCGTAGAAAACATTGTTCTCTTACATCAGACCAGATTTTCGTGAACATTATTCCTATTAGAAAATCGTAGTCAGTAGTACAACGGATGTGGTTAATACAATTCATATAGTAGATAATAATAGTATATATACAAGATAGATAATAGTAATAATAGATCTTCCAGATACTGTTGACAGACAAGATTCTGTTACGCTTTAAAGTAGATGGCATTAACACATTCAGTGATAGAAGGTAAGATGGCGAAAGCTGTCTTTTGAGCTGATGAAGTCGCAAAACATAAAAGGAGAAATGTTATGACAACAAAAGATTGAACACAAAGAGAAATTCCGTCGACCCGAAAGGACTCGAATATGTAACTACGGGATTCCGTTCCCAATGCTCTTCCAATTAAGCTACAGGTTGAGTTACCGAAGTCGACGAAATTCCTCTAAAACACATTAAAATCTCTTACAGATGTCGTGTATAGCGTGGAAAGCCGAAAATTTGAATGCGAATACACATAGAAGTGCAAGACATACATGGATTTTGTAGCAGTAAAGCCCCTTGTGAAAGTTGTTTGCTGCTAAATAAAATTACAACATTAATAAGGTGAACTAGACTCCCGGGAATTCTGCATCGATTGTAGAACTGTAACAATACTGATCTCCTTCATCGCCATCCCACCTTTTTACCATCCACTTATTTTTTTAATTCAGGTTCTTTTTCGAATTCCCTTTTCTTTCACTACTCTTGTTCGTTCTATATTTCGTGACTTCCATCAAAATTCTTGAAACGAGAAGACGTGCCCATTCTTATTGCAAAACTCCACGTCGATTACTATTAAAATCATAATAGCGAGGTCCGTTTGGGCCTTTCTTTTATTCTTTTATCATCTCTTGCAATAAATGTTGCAAATGTGGACAGAGCTTTCTGCATTCTCATTTCTTTAAGGCCAGGCTACAGACCAAACATATAAACCCGGCTTGCAACGAAATACACAAAATCGCAAATTTCGACAAAGTGGTAGGAAGCGAGGCGCTGGCATTTCTGTAGATGGCAATACAGACAATCGCCTTTCTCCGCTCGCTACTTAAAGCTGCTTGTGAAGTATAAAATCCAAATCTACCGTCGCCCCTTGTCGGTATAGTAAAGGCCATTCAACCCACAACAATGTTTTGTCCTTAACCTACTTGCACAGCGTGGACCCCTTTTTCCTTTGATTACTTCAAAATAGCCCAATCTCGGTCTTACTTGCGTTTTTTTTTCCACCAAATTCTGTTCTTTTTCATCAGTATTCAATTACTTTCCATATTTCATTTGCATCAAATCGATTGTACTAACGTAAAAAACTAATTTAAACCGCCGTATTGAATTTTACTTCGAAATAATAAATTGGAAAACAGAATTGTACGGAAGACAGTAAACGATCAGAAAAATAAAACGAAACTTCGTTTGCAATTAGTTTCGTATTGATTCCCATAAAAGCAAAAATGTTGCGCGCTGTCTTTGTTAGCTACAAGGGCTTTAAATAATATGTACCGTGTACTTTGTTTAAGAATATTACCACCATGTGTATGTGATAAGTATTTTAAAAACTAACCGAGGGCTGATTCTAGGAGATGGACCTTCTCAAGGAAAATCTAGACCAACCAAGGAAGAGATCGCCCTTAGCTGTAAGGTCGCTTTTGCCCACAATAGTTTTAAACTGTCTATGTACTGTTTTTGTTTTTGTTTGGGTAACCTCGAATTTTCATCAATATCACAAACTTTCGAATAAACGAATTTCTTTTTCCGGAATAACGTTTGTTCGAATTTTCATTACCCCGAAATCCGAATTATAACGAAGCCGTTGTCAGGATATGTTGGTTGTTTAACGCAAAGACACGATTAGGTTCGGTTAGGATAGGTTAAATTAGGTTAGTGTGCAGCGCCACACTCTGATGGCAACGATTGGAAGCGATCTCTCGCTGCCCAGCGTGATTTCAACAATGTTGGACAGCGAGAGGTCGTGGGAGGCAGTGGTCTCCTTCTGCGAGGCCGTGATGTCGCAGAAGGAGTCCGCGGAGCGGGAACGCGAAGACGCTGTCAACGCAGACCCGCTCCGGCGCAGGCGGTGGGGAAGAAGGCGAAGGCAGTACGCTGCTCGCCTAATTCCCTAGTGGGGCCAGCGGGTAGGGGTGGGGATCCCTTGCCCGCCTTGCACAGCCTCACTCGTCTGGGGGATGGTCAAGCGTGCCGACAATGGCGCGGGGACCCTGGCGAAAGCCTAGGGCGGCCGGGGGTGTCGTTGTGGTCGAATCCTCGGGATCCCACGGCACCCACAACACCCGGCCTTGCGGGTAACGCCGATGGAGTTTTAGTGCGGTATGCCCCCCACTAAGGGGGGAGAGTCCCACATAACCACCGAGCCTCCCCAGCTCGGTGGTATGCATAAAGCATTTCTCCATCGTAAAAAAAAAAAAAAAAAAAAAAAGGTTAAATTAGGTTTAAATAGAAGAGTCGTGGCGGGGGGGCTCTAGTAGCCGTGGTCGATTTCATCCCACGGTGAAGCTAAGACGGGGCCGGCCGATGGTGGTAGGCTGGCCCGAGGAGGTGGGCGTTCCGCGCGGATGCGCGTTGGGAGGAGGGTCGCGGGGGGAGAGACGTGCCGGTGTGTCGTTGCCACTCGTCCTGTCCTCCGCGACACTGGCGGGGCTGCGCTTTCGACGATGCAGTGGCGGCGGGGCCGCGGGGGAAGAGACGTGTTAGTGTGTCGTTGCCGCTCATCCTATCCTCCGCGTCCGAATGTGGGCGGTTGGTGGTGAGCGCTCCAAGGGACTCTCTTCGGAGAGTCCGCGCGGAAGCGCGTTAGGTGTTGCGGCGGAGCTGTCATCAGATCCGCCGCGGGGGCTGGGGGAGCAGCCACTGAACTTCACAGTTGAGTGGATGCTGTCCTGGCCCCCCATGGCCCCTGAGTAGCGGACTCGGGGGAGTTCGTTGCCCAGCATAAAGGGGCCCGGGATGGAAGGCTCGTCTGGTGATCGGCGAGCCTCACATTCGGAGTCGGGGGACCGATGTGTCTCCCTTCTCGGGGAGGGGCTGCGCAGGGCGCGGCCAGCCGCTGGTGGGGGCGCGGACGAGTGCAACAGCGTACCCGTACCCCCACCTACAGCGGAGAGGAGGAACACTCCGGGGGCTTAGTGCGGTAGGGCTGCTCCCCTTCAGGGTTCAGCCCAGTCCCACATAACCCTGGCTCTGCCCCCGCGGAGCCGGGGTATCTGTAAGCAGATTCCCCCGGATTAACAAAAAAAAAAGGTTTAAAAGAAGAAACATTTTCATTTCAAAATTACTTTCGAGTTTATGAAAATTCGAGCTAACGTTATTTTTGGGAAATATCATTTCGGACTTCTGATAGGTAACCTCTTGTGTGGGAGCAATAAAGTGTCTATTTATCTATCTTCTCAATTTTAGTGAATTAGCATAGGTATTAGCCACAACTTTTCTGTGATAGCACGTCCAATATTTGTTGTCGTACAGAAAGTACCAAGTCTAAGTAAAGGGTATAACAAAACGCGTAATAACAATTTTAAGATATGAAAGTGTAAATAACATTTTAATCACAACTACAGATTTGATTAAAAAAAAGAAGAATTTTTTGTTACACAAATCTGTCGTTTGTTATTTCGATGGAATTAACTTTTAGCTACGATCGGATCATAGTTTTCCAATACCATCTATTAGAGTGAAGTAACCATCATAGCAGTCTCCAATCAGTCCTCGGCTGCTTTAATAAGGTTTCTGTGCTCAATTTAAAGCACTTTCTGAGATTGGACTTAAATATTTACCGTCGGTCCAAAGTCCGTTGTCCTTGGATATCCCCTTGAATTATACGCCAAAGGGGGCCATTTTGGTTGTTTAGCATGAAATCAATAATCATTTACAAAATGTACTTTTGTTTTATTTATCTGTTTATACTAGTACACAATACAGGGAAGTACTGCCACCTCACTTCTTTGTGCCGACAAGTAGTAATGTGTGTATTACTGCGTTTCGGTTTGGAGGGGTAAGGGTGCTGGTGAAATCACTTATGTCTTAGGGTGGCGGGCGCGATGGCAGTGCCCCTCAGATCTTTGTGATTTAAAGCTCTTGAGTGGCACTGCAACTGTTATGGACAGACGTATCAATAAAATCACAGTATGTAAATTTACATGGGCAGTTAATAAATATTAAAATCTAGTGAACAATATTATTAAAATTATTGTTAAGTATTTTGTATGTATTCAGATTAACGTTTGGCTGTTGGTTATTATTTCGAAGATTTTAAAATATTCGAAATAATAACCGCACGTTAATGTTCGTGCATACAACATTTTTCACTTAATATTAATTTTAATGTAAAATTTACATCTGTTATTTATTTATTTATATCAGGTCACATGAGTCATATAATAATAATAATAATAACGCACACACTCGACATAGCCCCGCACTAGGGAAACCCTGTGTCGCGGGTGCATTGGACACACACACATAGACAACCACAAATTACACCCAAACTCACGAGAGAAACAATTGTAGGCCATACAGCTATTTCTTCCGGCCCGGGAATCGAACCTGGGACCTCCGTCCGGCATGGTAACCGTTCGGCCACAGAGGCAGTTAAATAAAATATAATATATAACTTAGGGACTAACATACATACAATATAATAAAGCAGTATTTCTAACTAATCTACACGAATTGCACTTGTCGGCGATGTGTGGCGCAATCTGGTGTCAGGTAACCGGCCGCGAAACCGCCGATAAGACACCCTTCGGCCAAAATTCTTCCTTCATGAAGGTCGACAAATGTTCGTTCGGTACTCTCACCACAAACGAATTGAAATTCACGTTGTGGCGAGACTCCAACCGCTCGACCCTCAGGGTGTATTTGGCTTTATGTCTGATATACTCCACTATCTCCTCAGACTTCGTGGAGTAATACAGCAGCGTCGTCGGTGTGGCCGGACGCAGCAGGAAGATCGATCCTGACGGTACTGTGCCATATTGGTTATGGCTGGTGGGCTTCCTCTTCTTCTTCTTCGCCACTTTTGTGAAACTGTCCTCGTCGCACCGGTCCATCTGCCTCTGTGGTTTTACAACTTCAGAGACAGGCACACGGGGATTACTTTTTCCCTTAGCAGATTACGTTATAAGTCAATAGATAACACTGTTAAATATTGACAATAGTACCAGCAGCAACCACGACAACATCTTCCAACCCTTTAAAACATAGCGTTTCGAAAGGCGTAATAGCAATTGCTGAAGATGTCTGTTGTAGTGTAGCTTTAAGAGTTTTTGTAGAGTGGCAGCCCCGCTGAAAAAATATGTAATATGGTGTAAGGAGTTTAAGTATGTCAAAAGTAGGGCCGGAAGTCTTGTTTCTTTGGTAATCATTCTGCACTTTAAGAGGGAGCAGAGGAAAAATTCCTAATCTTCGATTTGATTTTAGAGGGTTATGTCCACTTTAAAGTTAAAAATAAAATATTGTACGAGTAACTACACGATATATTTAAGCATAGATATTAAACAGAAACATAAAACAATAAAGTTTCCTCGATAGATAAAAATCACGAAATGACCTCTTTTTTTCACATTTTTTCCATTTATTCTCGAAATGCTACAGGTTATTAGGACAAAAATTAGATAATTAATTATACTTATGCATGATCGACAACTGTCACTACGGATTTTTTAAATCCCTTTAGTTTTAGAGTTATTCCGCTAAAACGCATTTGGTACTTTTAATGCGCAAAATTCAACATCTCCTGTCGCATGTCACGCGAACTTCAGGCATATATTTGTTTCACAAATTTTTGCGGAGCCAATGTCAAAACTTTTTTGGCATGAGAGCTCCTAAACATGCTACTTGTTTCAACTGTGGACCATGTGCGCAGCAATGTATCGAGTGACTCACTTGGGTGTTTCGATATTTCAAATATTACCGTCTCACAATAAGTTCCATTTCCATTTTATTTTACAGTCTAAATTTTGAAAATTACATTTCTTTGATAGTTACATACTGGGCTATGGTTTCACCCTCTTTTTGTTTTCTGTTTCTAATTCAGCCTGGTGTAATACATGGTTTGTTACCGGATGGTAATTGTTCTTTAATTTATCACAAATATTTGCGTACGATTTCTTTATTGGAGATACTGGTGCACATAATGTGGTTAAAGTGTCGTATACGTTTGTGTTTATTTTCGTAATTAACCATTGTTACTTTTTGTCTTCTGGGACATCATTTAATAGCACAAGACATTCGAACTTTTGTTTAGAAGCATCCCAGTTTCCCTCCACTGAAATTGTCCAGACTTGTAACGAAGCTCAATTTCTTTGATTTCCGTGCTATATACGAACGCAACAATTTTCTTAGGTGCTCAATTTTATCTGTTGCGGTGACTTCTGAATTTTGTCATACCCATAATTAGAGATTACGTCTCGAATGTGCACTTTTCAGAACACGTTTTCTCATTTTCACTGACGTCATCTGAAGAAAATTATTTTAAATAGTCGCGGGGATCGAACTTTCTCGTCGCCAAATTGTTGTATACGAATAGAAACACTAAAAATTTAATATAAAAAGTATAATTTATTGCCGTCACTGCTTTAGACATATTTAAACTCCTTGCACCATATTACATATTTTTTTCAGCGGGGTTGCCACTCTACATAAACTCTTTAAGCTACATTACAACAATGGCAATCTCGGAATGGACAGCAGCGAGGTCATTGTACTTTCCGTTTTTGATACACTAACATTAATTCAGTTTGACCTAATGTTTATTAATCGTCCTCGTTAGTCATCTTTATTCAAAGTCTATGTAGTGTGATGAGCTGCAATCTTTATGCTCTTGGCGTAATATTGCACCTCTTTCGCTTTTTTTTTTGATGACGTGACATGATATCAATTGACGGGATAAACAAGACTTACGCCTGGTGGTAAGTGATACGCCTGTCCAAGGTACTTGTTGCGCCACTCAGAGCTTTAAATCGCACAGGTTTGAGGGTCACCGCCATTGCACCTGTCACTGAGTTAACAGCTCCCAAGTACCTGTAATTTCACCAGTATCCTTCATGCTTCAAAATTGGAACGCAGAACCTACTGCTAAAGAACACTATCATCACTCGCATTGGCCTTTTTGGTACTTTTGACTAATTTTTCTCAATGGCATTGTCGATCAATGTTGAGATAAGGTCGACATCCTCCTTTTAAATTTGTCGTTGTTGTAACGTGTGATGTGGTGTTTTGTTTTCTATCATGCGCGATATCGTACGGGACTTTTTTTAGCATGAATTTTCGTTTCATTCTAGATTATTACAGTAGTGTTGTTCTTGAATTACGTTGTTTCTGCCACATTTTCCAGAAATGAGAATGAAATATGTAGTTTTCGTTGCCGCACTTAGCGCAGTGCTCGCACGAAGCAGGGGTCTCGTATCGCGCTTTCTCAGGGATGGCAATAAATCACGTTGCCACTAACACGGTGCACGGCGTGAACCACCGTCTCAACACAAATGGAGCACTTGAATAAATATTTTGCACTATACGTACCGTAGATATAGGTGTTTGGTTTGGTCTATGGTGTGTAGTCATTAGACGACCTCCGTCGTTGTTGGCGTGGTTCCGGATTCGATCCCCGGCCGGATGGAAAAGTTTTGTTCCAGTTTCGTGTAAGGATCATTTCATTGTATTAAAGAAACAAATCGGGACAGCAGAAGTCAGTGAAATTTAATGAAATTTTTTTTCATACAAAATAAACAAAATTGACTAATTGTTTTTTAATGTCGGGAATTGACCCAGAGTGAATTTCGTACAGGGAATTGGTGTTGTTGCAAGACTATTGGTGTTGTTTTCTGGCACATTATATTATAACTGGCGACATTAAGAAGACAGCAGCTGCAGTTGAAACTCTTTACCACCTCCACACACTCCTGACTTGGCCCGATCGAATACCAATTGTTTCCGCATTAGATTGTAGAGACAAGGAAAACAATTTAGTTTCCGTTAGACACAGTCGAAAATGAGTTTTAAAACTTTGTCGATTTCCGTTCCCCACTATTCCACCACAAAGAAATAACTGAACAAGATGGCAGATATACTGCGAGCGTGGGTTTACATTTTATTTACATAAATTTTGTTTTCTTAAACACCTTTTGCTGAAATCTCATATTTGGAAACGGCATATCGACTGTGAACTGGCAATCGGTACTAATCTCAATTTTAACAAATTTATAGGATGAAGAAAAAATTGTTTACGTCATTTATATAGCATCTGGTTTACTAAATAAAAATATGTAGTTTTTAAATATTTTTATTACACGTGTATGTATGTACACTACGTATTTTTATTTAATAAACCAAATGCTATTTATCCGCTCACGCGATACATGCAGCCGTAGACGCATACAACATCTAGAGGTGCCGGTAATGATTTTATACCGATTTATCGGATATCGAAGTTATAACAGGTTAAAGAACTAATATTAATTGCTATTTCGGTAACTACTCTAGCAAACCATAAAGTTTTTAATGCCTGGGTTTGTCATTTAAAAAAAATAAACAACTTCAAAAATACGTCACGACAATCGTGTGTGTTATTGTTTGGGCTGGTGATTTCGGTATTTATTTATTGAAAACATACCGTAAGTAGCGTTTTTTAAGTTTACCCTGAATATAAATGTTTATAAATTATACTTTAAGGAATAATTTCATGGTAAACGTTAGAACCACTCAAACGGAATATTATCATATTTATCCAAGTACACCAAAAATTTCACTAGTGCTTTTTAAGTGCAGTATTTGCAATGTATTACTGCATTTTATTTGAGATGTTTTTGTTGTAGTACGGAGGGTATTTATTTAGCAATGCAGAATAATAATTTTTATCTATAAAAACTTGTATTTAAACTGAATGCTTTTCTAATTTGCGAAACCAAATAGCCGCCATTTTGCGGTAGGAGCAGCGCATCGCGTGAGCGAATAAATTATTTTTTCTTCACCTGTAAAGTTGTCAAAATTGAGATAGTGCCAGTTGCCAGTTCACAGTCGATATGTCTCCAATTTATACGTTTACTTTTTAATATTTAGATACTACAGGGCATCATATTTTACGAAATCATTTACAAGTTGTG